GTGGGGAGTGCCGGCGCGGAGGACGCGGCTGCCGCGGCAGCGCCCCGGGCAGTGGCTGCGGCCGAGACAGCGGCGGAGCAGCAGCGTGAAGTGGGCAGCGCCACGGCTCCTCCTGCTCGGGCTCCCGCAGTTCCGATTTCCCCACCTCCAGGCCCTCTGGGCGTGGAGAGGCCGGAGGAGGCGCCGCGAGCAACTCTAAAAAAAAAAAAATTTAAAATAAAAAAATCCGCATTGAAGGAGCCGGGCCGCAGGACCCCTCCTCCCGGGGCGCCCCCCACCCTCTCCTCCCCCTCCAGCCCTTCCTGGTAGGCCCCCCCGCCCCTCCCGGGCGCCCGCCTCCCTCTTTAGCCGACTGTCTCCCGATACGCCGGCTGAGAGCCCTCTTTGACTGAGAGCCGAGGCGGCAGAGCAGAGGCGGCGGCGCGGGACCTGCAGTCGCCCGGGATTCCCTCCAGGTGACGATGCTCTGGTTCTCCGGCGTCAGGGCTCTGGCTGAGCGTCCCTGCCGGCGCTCGCCCGGGATTACCTGCTGCGTCTTGCTGCTGCTCAATTGCTCGGGGGTCCCCATGTCTTTCGCTTCCTCCTTCTTGACAGGTAGGGGAGGGCACCGGAGGGACCGGCCCTGGGGGACTCCGCGGCTTGGGTACCTGGGAGAGGAGGCGCTGGCTCGCCTGGGGGTGGGAGGACGAGGAGAGCGCACCTTGGCGCCCTCTGCTCGCTGGCCTGCTGGGGATGCGGCGAAGCCTGAAGGTAGGGGAGTGGGCAGGCAGTGAGTATGTTGAGAGGTTGAGGGCTGAGTAGCAGTTAACTTAAATGCAGTAATATAGAAATTATTCCACACTGAACCTGGAGCTTTATTTATTTTAAGCACTTTTCTCAGCTCTTCCTTTAATCTCCCATTACAACTGAGGGGCGATTTTGCACCCTTTTATGCGCATTTTAGGGTTCCAGTACCGCTTCTGAGCGCCTAGTGCCTTTTAAAGAACCGGTTTTCCAGACCTTGAATTTAAAGAAACGATCATATTTTAAAAAGGTATAGTAATGATATGTTTTCGGGCAGGTGAAGCCTTCAGCTGCTGTTCTACAGGACATGCTTTACTGACACCTGGTGCAGAAAAGAAAATGTTGAGTCCATTTCTAAGGGAAGAGCCTTGTGTTTCAAAAAGTGATTTCAACACAAGACAAAATGAGGCAGATCCCTACAGAGGCCTGCGCATTGGCATAGTTCTGAATTTTGTTCAAGTTGAAGATCTACCCTAATGGCAGATTTGACTTATTTGACAGCTAGGATGTGTGTATGTTTATTTGAAATACTTTTATAAAGGAAAGATGCTGGAATTGTGCTTAAGCCATGTAAGAATAATAAGGGAAAAAAAGATTCCTTCTGCAACCTGTATGAATAAAATGACTTGGAAGAATTTCTTAAAGTGAACAATTTCTTGTTAAACTTCTTCATCTATAACTCATTAAGACGCTCTGAAATTAATTATAGTGTTTGTTTAAAAAAGATTAGGGTAAAAATGTCAATTTTTGTAATAACACTGCTAAGTTTGAATAAGCTTCCCCCCTTCTCTTCAGGTTCTGTTGCAAAATGTGAAAATGAAGGTGAAGTTCTGCAGATTCCATTTATCACCGACAATCCTTGCATAATGTGCATTTGCTTGGTAAGTGCCCAGACCAGGTAGGACCAGCTCATTCACACCCTCTCCTACATTGAAATCCGTTCAATGTCAAAACAAATTGGAGAAATTGCCTTCAGTTCTTGAAGAGCTGTGTCACTGTAAGTGTGCAACAATAACTTAGGACTGTGGGTGGGTTTAATTTCTGACTTTTGTGAGCTTTTCCAGCCTTTCAACAGTCTGGAAATTCTAATCTTTGTCATCACAGATGCAGAAGTAAAATGAAGATGGACTTTTTTGTGCGTTACCTCAGTGACAGCCATGCCTTTGCTAGGGAGTGGCAGTGGCTGGCAAACTTTCTGCTTGGGTTCTATCACTTAAGCTCAGCAGAAAAATGGCAACATTTAGATAAAGAGGTCACAGGTAAGGGACACATGGAAAATAAGTGACAGCCAAAAAAGGACAAAAATGAAGATGAGGTGGAATCTTGACTTTCTTTGCCTGTTAAACTGTATGCTTTCAAGGAGTCTTCGTTTCTGATTTTGAAGAATTTGTCAGAAAGGACAATTCTTTTAATAGATAATGTTGCTTGGCTGCCATCTGCTTCATTAACAATGGCAGTGGTTAATAGATTTAAAAAAGAACCATTAAGTTTTAATTGATTTAACTTACTAATTAAATGGATAACTAGTCTGATAAATAACCATGTTGGGACATTAAGTTATAGGAATCAGAAATGTTGAAATGAAATATGGACCAGCAAAGAGCAACAATTTTGCTTAAAAGTGTTTTATTTGTTCACTTTGACAAACTTTAATTAATAACTACCACACCATGAAACCTTACTCAAAACACAAGAGAGTGGTGAAAGGTAGAGGCCCAGGGTGCTGGAGGACTGCTGGTCAACCAGCTCTGGAACCTGCATGGAGCTGAAGGAGGGATTCTTCTCTGTCTATGTGAAAGCCAAGCCATCTGGGTTTCAACTGCCCAAACTTTTTCATGACAAGACATGAGGTCAGTGCCGAGGAATGATAAATGGGTAAGGGTGAATGCCTGTATCAAATGATTATCAGGTTCTGAATGCAAAGGGAATCAACAGACACTCAAGTGGAAAATGTATTACTTTTGTTGAGATGATAAATAGTGCTGTCTTTTGAAAAAGGTTGGAGAGGGATGACTTAGACTTTATGTTAATTAATGATTTTTTTTTCACCACAGAACCTACTGTTAAGAATATATAAGGCAAATTTGGACTTAATTGTAGAGTTACAAATCAAAGTGCATGTGGGAACAATCTTTTTTTCCTTCTTCTTATCTTTATAATGAAAGTGGATTATTTTATCCCACTGTCTTAAGATTTCAGAGGAAATTTCCCTGGCCAAGTAAATGTGTTTGGAATGCCACATGGGGATATTATATATATATATATATAT